ACCTGAGCCCATCGCTCAGAAGAGCCAAACGATTTCGCGATCCGAGCGCATCAATTACCGGTAGCGTGAAAGCACTGCCTCGCCTGAAGGTGCGAACCAGGCGGATGGCACGCAGAGACTTCAAAGCTCGCACCATACCTGACAGCAAAGCTCACACACCGCACTGCCGCACTGCCTGCAACACTGGTGCAGCCACAGAAGCAAAGCAAAAAGAAACCGCGCTGTTCAAACAGTTGAGGTGACAACAGCAGCGCCCACTGAATCGCTGGAGAGCTGCGCAACATCACAATGCTTTGCTTGTCTTCGGTGTCGGACACTGGCAAACCTACGAACATATCGGCCAAGCCGGCCACCACAAGGATGGTATCAAACCAGTTCGCCGCATCATAGACAAACCTCTTGCGCTCGATGCACATGCGGACAACCAGCTCGAGGAGGAAGACAAACACAAAGACTGCGTCCTTGCGTCGGGGGTTCCAGCAATCGGAGAAATGCAGCCACGGGGTGGGGAACTGCCAATGGGCCTTTTGCCGCCAAAACAAATGCGGGATTTCAATGATTCATTGCAGAGGCATCCGGCACTGCGTGCCTCACCAAGGGCTTGCCCACTTTTGCTCAACAGCCCAGGCGCCAGAGTTCGAAAGATTGGCGCCACATCTTTCAGCTGAGGCCCACTGTCCACACCCAGTTGGGCCCCCAGAGCGCGGCCTGGGGTTTGCTGCTGTCAAAAAGGGCCTTGCTGAGGGTGGAATGTACCGCACCACAGGATGGGACTGGAAGGAACAGGAAGGAACAGGATGGAGAACGGGATTGATTCGGCTGCTTTCACTTAGTGGCGACACCAGGTTTGGTCGTATTGTAAGGCATGCAGTCGGGTGCGGCCTTCCAACTCCAGCTCCACCAGCATCACCAAAGAGTTCAGGAGCACCAGCATGCCGGCGAGCATGTCGGTGAACGTTTTGCCTCGATCTGCGAAGCCGCCTTAGCAGGCATCCGCCCGTGTCAAGGTCCCTGGTGCCACTGGGCTGGCCAACCCCTGCTGGCATGTTCTGACCACGATACCATTGCGCCCCTAAGCCGTGGGAACCGCACCGCCCGACCATTGCCCCCCTGGCTTAAGGGGAACCACCCGAGTTTGGGACTTTGATGACCCCCAAAGCCTTGCCGCGGCACCGCCGTCCAGACCCAGCAAGTCCCCGGTGTTCTGTGCGCTGGTGGTGGTGGTGCGGGTGCTCACCGCAGTCTTGCTCACAGGCCTCCACTGCAACTCCCTGGGGTGTTTCTGAGGGTGCCCTCTTCAGGCTTTGGCATGAGGTGGGAATCCTTGATGTGGACAGCCACTTCCGAGGGAGGCTGCTATTAAACTCAATTGCCCCATCAGGTCAACCATCCTCCCGCATAAACACTGACGCTTTGCGTGGCGCAATTTCACAATCTGCAAGTGCATGTTGGATGGTTTTCTTTTGTTCTAGACCATCCCTTCTACTCCTACTGCTCAGGAAGGATCGCAGCAAGAATCGAGGCATCTCTTCTGTGTTGGGCATTCCTTGCCCCTTCAAAGAAGAAAACGTGTGATGGCAACCTGCCGGCTGCGCCATCTGATTGAACAAGTCAGCATGATGCGACGTGTCCCCAAACTCTTTCTAGCGCACGTCCCCAAGCTCTACACGCACACCTTCCCCGCCCCGCCTGTCTTCTTGGTCGTCTGGCTCTACCCATTCTGGCAGCTCCGCCAATGGCCCCGCCAGCGGCGCAAGTGGCACATCCTCGGCCAGGTGCGGGGACGCACGCAAACAGCACGTCGGCAAAACCTGAAAGGCAGCCAAACAAGCTGTGGCCGGGGGTCAAAATTAAACCATGGGACCACAGGTTTAATCCATGTTTCCATTTACCAGGGTTCCCATTTACTCTTGACCCACCGCCACGCGTTTCTGTTTTTTTTCCCGTTTTTCCTCATTCGGAGGGTGTAACAAGCTGTGACCCACGGGTCAGCCCCCAGGACTCGCCCAAAAGGCCCCCGCCCCCCCCGCCTCGTGCGCGCCCAGGACCAGGCTGGCGGGGTTCCCGCGGCTCTTCACCAGCTCCAGGTCCTCGATCCTCGCTCCCCGATGCCCCCCATGAAACCCAACAAGGGGTCGTCCAAAGCCTTCCCTTTGGTTAAGACCCCTGGGAAAAAATGAAATGTGTCACCTAATGAGAGATTCCCTTTTAAAACCAACAGGGGAAAATAACAAAGGCTCGGGCAACTTTTTGGGTTCATTATTTTTTTGACACATGCTCAAATGGCAGTAGGGGTGGCGCAGAATGGAGATGGCCAATCAGGGTAGCCTCTAAGGCCGCCATTTGACTGGACATCATCTAGGTGGATGTATGTCAGTTGTTTTCTTGTTGAAATTCATAGCCACGATCTTTCTTACATGAGTCCGAATCAAAACCCGGTACTAAAATGCTCTACCCAGAACCATGTAAAGAATTAAGAAGGCGGCCGGCCGCAGCTATTTATGGCTGGGATTTTCCCTTACCCGGGTTTTGATTGTGGCTCACATGAAAGGATCCGTTAATAGGATCTGCCCCCCCCCCCCCGCGCCTGGAGAAGGTGCGCTGCAAGGATCGGCCCAGCTCCTCGTGGTGGTGGCTGGCCAGCTGCACCCTGCCGGTTTTGTTTGTGGCGCAAGGCTTTTTCATCTCCCCCCCCCTCCCAGCCCTCCCTCCACCCACCCACCCACCCACCCACCCTCCATCCATCCACCCACCCATCCATCCACCCATCCATCCATCCACCCATCCATCCATCCATCCATCCATCCATCCCAAAGAATCCATCAAGCGTCGCGACGCCAAGCCCTCTCGCCCCCCCTCACATGCCGAGACTCAGCGCCCGCTGCTCCTCCTCAACCACCTCGAGCAGCCGCTCGATGCGCGCTGCCCACACCGTCGGCTTGGGCATGGCACAGGCTGCCAGCTGGGGCTGTGCGCGCCTTCCAATCGGAGTGCCCGATGCTGAGCTCCGCCAAATTTACAGAACTTGGGGCTTCAAGCGTCGTTCTCGGGTGAGTTGGAACATCTACATGTAAGTTCCCGTGCTGAGCATGATGGGAAGTCTGGTTTGCACATGTTACAGCCTACGTACACATAAAGCGCGTTGTGGATCTCAATTGAGCCTCGCTCAGATTGAAGCTGGCTCAACCCCACACAAGACACCGCAGGTCATTCGCCCCAACTCTTGATACACTCAAAGTTACTGATCACACCAGTGCAAGCCATCATGGGTCGACACTGGCCCAGGTTGCGCCTTGATTATCTTGCCGTGTGCATGGAGCCAAATCTGCAGGTTTGCAGGCTACATCCATGCATCGATTGACAAGCACCTAAAGGAAAAAAACAACTAAAGCATGCAAGGCCACCGCGTGAGGACCCCAGTGTTTCTGGGCCTTTTTATCTTGCCGAGTTCTTTCATGGGCTGGATCTTAGGAGCCCTTACGCAAAGCCAACCCACACCAAAACACCGGCATAGCGGCTTGCACAGACAACTCCCCTGTCTGGCCAGCAAAAGCGGCTGGGATGAACTGCAAGCCAAGGATCCACTGCTGCGTCGCCCTCCAAAAGCAATTCCTTGGCGCTAGCTGCTGCACGCACAAGGCCACCTTGGCGGCTCGGGCTATGACTTGGCATCAACCTCTGGCCGTTTGTTGGCGAAAGCTTGAATCATTCCTGATACTAATTGCCCGGTTCACACACAGCGCGGGCCCTTCTGCCTTTGATGCCCAAATGCTGGCGATTGGCCCGTACAGGTTGAACACGAAGAATCAAGAGTTCCTGCAATATATAGGCCCAAAGAGCTCCAATCGTTCCTTAATGTTCCTTACCGGCCTGCATCAACTTCACGCACAACCCGCCAAAATCCAGACGGACCTCATTAGAGCCCATGTTCGGCCCAAGGTCAACGCATTCGTCGGGCTCACTGTGACATGATGAACTCAGGGATGGAAGCGGGAAGAAAGACAGTGGGGGGCGAAGCGTGCTCAAGGCAAAAACTTTGGGCTCCGCCCCTGCCTGCTGATACGCGCGCAGCTGTCAGCAGCGGGTACTGCTGCATAGCTTTGGAAAAACCTGAAAGCGGTGAAAGCGGTGCACGACCTGCCTGGAAAACAAGAAGCCCCCAGTGAACCCATGTTTTGCATCGCCTGCCTTGAATGCCAACCTTGACAAGCAGCACTGAACTGTGCAAAGCGTAACAATCCCCCGTTTCAACAGAAGCTGGGTGGTCCCAGATGATGCACCCGTCTTCTATGAAACGCACTGGCACTCGACGCTTGATGCGCACCCCTTTGCCCGGCCCAGCTCGCTCACACACCCGGCCTACTGCCAGCGCGGCCACTAGGTCTTTGCCTTTCGGGCAAGCATTTGCGGGAACGAGGTCATCAATGGCTTAAGCCTCCAAGCTGAACCACAGCCAACAGAGCTTCTCGCATTTGCAGCGGATTCTGGCAAATCATGACCGCACATCTTCTCAAAGGACAGTTGGCCTGAATCGTGCAACTAGGGCACTAGGGAACAACTTGACCTCTCGCAAACAAGCACGGCATCACTAAGCCCCCTGGTGCTTCCGCGTTCCCATTAAAAAGGCGTGCGGCTAGCCACCAAGCTAAGCAGGAAACACCAAACCGCCACCCAAACCATCCAAAGCAAGCCGGTGGAGCCAAAGCCGAACCCCAACCTCCGTGGCCAAGATGCTGGGGGCCATGGATTCCTCTCGGATGCAATCTTTGGCCACGTGCCCACGAAAGCCGCACTTGGAGCAGCGCAGCTCGTCCCCTGGCCGCTGATTCCGGCTGCCAAACTTGCCGCGTGGGTGGCTTAAGACATGCCAACCCATGAGTGCGACACATTGCCACAGCTCAGCCTTGAGGCAAGTTGGCGACCAACAGGAGCTCGAGCGGTGTCAAATGCTCATCGTTCTTCAGCAGAAGTGCTAGGGGTGCCGCATCACAAAGCCACCTGACCAGAACAGGCTCGGTGGCAAGTTCGGGCACGTTCATGGCGTTTCATGCAGTGTGCTCCGCCAGCGTCAGCTTGCGTCAGCTTTGTTCATGTGCATTGTGCATTCTCAATTTGTCCGGCGGGAAACGGACTAAGTGCACTCCTCTTCAGAATGCTAAAGGGATGCAACGTGCACTCCCGCGGGATAAAGTGCCGGCCTAAGGACTTGCTGGGCTGACCTCTCAGAGCTAAAGCATGTGTGACACCTGCCTCAAGTTGAAACTAAGAGCTGGGCAAAGCACCAGCTTCTGAACAGCCGGGTAAAACCTCCCACATCCCACCTGGCGATTTCCAGGTAGTGGCTCCGCTGGGCCGAAGGCACCCGCGAAGCTGCCCAGCACACCTAGGCTTGGACATTTTTGATAAGCACCCCGGGCCGCGACTAAGAGACAGACCCCAAACGAACAAAATGCGTCAGTGTCAGTGTCACTGCTCCACCCGCATCCCTAAGACTGGGCGCCCAGTGCAAAGGAGTGCCGGAGGCCCAGGATGAAGCGACCCCCATGCCCTTGCGAGGTCCAAGCTCCTCGTGCCCGGAGCGGGGAGCAGAGAGACTTCAGTTGCGTGAATAACGGTCAACGGCCCGTGGCAAGGGATTGCTCTTCCGATTGCCCAGGGGGCAATGATGAAGGACCCATGCCCAGCAAAAATGGACAGGTGGCGACACCTGGCAAACAACTTTGGTGGAATTCGACCCCCCGGCGCCGCGGCACGAAATTGATATTTTGTCACCCCCTCCCCAAATTGCCAATTTGTAGGGGTTGATTCGGCCTCCAGCGTTGTTCTGCTACAAAAAAACACGAGACACAAATTGCGACGGCTGCACTTCTGGCCCGCTTCAGCTGTTATCATGCGTACTCACTGGGGGAATGTGAGAACAACACACCAAAATTGGGTAAGCCCAAGTTAGAATGAGGGGCTGCGCCTACAATTTGTTGCACTAGGTCGAGTTATTCTTAAGATTTACAAGCCTAGACCTTTAGTGTGACAGAATGTCAGAATGTGTTCAAACCTTCAAATGCAGGTGTCGTGCTCGTTTTATTGAATTGGTTGAGCAAGCGGCAGTCCCAAAGCACAGGTGAGTTACAAGAAATGCCTCATGAAGCTGCAGCCTCCCTTGGGCTCCCGACGATCTTGGTCCGCTTGGCGTCCCCCTGAGGCATTTTGGGCCTTCCCTGCCCGACAGATTCCGAACCAAAAGCAAACGACTGGCTTGAAGGCGTCTTGCGCTTGGCTGACATTCACCAACAGTCTTCTCAAAGAGCAAGAGCCTTGCCAAGGCAGATTCGCGCTGGGATAACCAAGCAGCCGTCATTCCAAAATCCTTCCAAAAGAAAAAGAAAAAAACTTCCCCAGCCTCCCAGCCTGCCTTCAGGTTCACAAAGGAGCTGAGATTCTGCCGAGACAGCTCCGCGCCAGCGCGCAGCAGCCGGAAAACCTCTCTCAGGGAGACCAGCGTCGCTCAGCTTGCACATATTTCCTCCCGTACCCCCAGTGAACATCCCAATCCCCGCCAAAATAGGTTCTAAAATGGGTGGTGAATTCACCTACCCCGAAATGGGATCCCACGGGTTTTGACCCACAGCCACTGCATCGAGCTCGACCACCTCTCCGCGCCTCGCCTGTTGCAGGCTGGCCCGGCCCCCGAAGATCAGGTCCCGCAGCTTGCCCTGCGCCGCGCTCTGCAGGCTCCGCAGCAGGTCCCCACGGCCTGAGGCACGTTGGAATACGCCGCAGTGGGTACGTGGATGCTCTAAACGGGGCATACCAAGCCAAGAAATGAAGCTGCCATCCTTGGCTTGAAGCAACCACCCAATGACTGGTGAAATGTCAAAAAGAGAAGCCCACATGAACTTGCCGCCACCAAGGACTGTGCGGATTTGTCCTATCTTCCAAGGCACCCCACGAATGCGATCTGAGCTTGGTTGACTCTCTTTGTTCCCCAATAGCTGAAGTCCATGGAGCTCGAAAAAGCTCCGGAGCAGCAGGCAGTGGCTGGGTAGGGTTCAGCGGCTTCGGACAAGGGTTCTATGAAGTGGCGGGCCGGGTGGTGGAGGGTTCCAGAAGGGAGTGGTGCACGGAAGATTGAGAAATGGAACGGTAGGGTTGCAAAAGGTTCTCAAGTTATCGGCGGAGTGGTTGGTGGATAGGGTTTCGCGGTTGATGGATAGGGCCTAGTGCGGTTCGGAGCGGCTACATTTGCTGTTGGGGCCTGGGCTTATTTCTTGACTGCCCATGCAGTTTGCCGCACTATTCGCAATGTCAAAACTTGCATGCCTCATCTTGCTTTCTGCGCACTTTGACACTGTAGCTCGAAAAATGGCAGCTCTTCACAACGAGCGCTTCTTTCACAGCCGCTAACTCAGAAGTATTATAATTAACTCTGTTACTGTGTCGACCAAGGGCTTTGCATTTGTGCAGCGTGTTCATAACCAGCTTCTGCCCCATTTGCTTGCTGGCCAAAAGGCCAGTCTCCGGAGCAATCAAGCACAACTGTTTCTCTCCAGCTGGCGTTTATTTTTTGGGTGGCTTTTGCAGAGGGGCCCTTCCCCCATGATGCCCTGCTCATTGCGGTACCGCGGTGTGAATGATAGCAATTGGCAAAGGGCACTCAAGGACACACTGTTGAGCAACCGAGACTTGCAGCGTCGAGAGGGCAAACCAGCGCAAGCACAATCAATGGGGAAGTACAAGGCCTTCCGGTGTTTGCGCCTTCCAGAATCTCTCGGCTATCTTGCCCCCCTCGTTCTGCCCCAACCCACCTACACGCGCGCAGAGCTCGAAAATGGTGAGGTGGGGGGCATCACCTGGGAAGCAGTCCTGAGCTGCTTGCGCGGTCGGACATGTTCCGGGTTGCCCTGAGTTGGTCCAAGGATGATGCAAAGAATGAATGCAGAACGCGCCAAAGGCATCTGATCCAGCCTTGTCGGTGCAGATAAAGACATATCTCATTCACAGCCAAAAACTGTAGCTCACCCAAACATGCTGGTGGCACCTTGGAGGAAACATGTCACACCCACAGCCCTGGTGTCGGCGACATTCGCCATTCTGAACCGGTTCTTCCCACTTCGGTAAAATGCCCCGGCCATGCTTCTCTTGTCATGCCACCCGAGCTTGGGAGCAAAGAGCATGCAAGACCGCGATCATCAAGGGGCATCAAGTTTGCGTTGATTAGTTGGGGAGGCCTGTGCCGTTTTAGACGCTGAGTGCAGTGAATCTGCACAAATGCCTAGCTGAACTTAGGTTAACTCCCCTTTATATGAGGGCAAAAAAAATACCAGCCATCGTTTGCCGGGCCGCGAGGATCGCCGTTGCCTCCCGCTCTGTGCTGGAAGTCTTCCTCGGTTCTTAGGGTTCCTACTCTCAAGCCGCGGACGGCGTTGTCATCAGGGTTGGTGGGACCACACACTTCAAGAAGACTGAACCAAATCCATGCTCCCAACTGCACCTGCACCATGCAATCCGTTATTCGCATAAAGCCACAAAGCCACAATTGTAAAGAACATCGCTCTCAGACACGGTTGAATCACATTTTGATTGAAGACTATCTACTAACTTCCTTTCCCATTTGTCGGAGGAACCTTGGGAGGGCATCGGTGCTTTTGCCATCCATGTCTCACAGCCCCCAATCTCGCAGATCCTATCACAGCGCCCCAAATAGGGGGGGGTTCTGCCCCTACGACGCTTTTCAGAGAACCCAACGGGCTCAGGGAGGCACCCCACACCTCCAGCAAAGCTCGGCCAGGCGTCAACAGGAACAGCGCCTCCTGCACCTCGTCGCGGGAGACCTCGTGGCAAAGATCCAGCTGCTGGTCCTGAAGGACCAAAAAACTCCGAGCGTGGTTTAGGCTGGGTTTAGGCTGGGTTTAGCGTGGGATATTAAGATGAGACATGGCTATGCAACATTGTACTGTCCACACACCAGCAAGCGGAAAGTGAGAGTCCCCACATTAGCCACTGCGGCCTGCTGACACAGCAGCTGGGGGGTGCAATGTTGCCATGAATGGTTCCTGTCGCCAATGCTGCGCTGCTACCATACAACGCGACGTTCGCGTGGGTTTAGGGTGGGTTAGGGTCAGTTTAGGGTGGGCGTCCGCCCACAAACCTATGGTTGGCCTTGTGATCATAAAGGTTGGCATGGGCCTTCTTTGAAGCCTGATTGTACCAAAGCGAGGAACTGACCTTTCAAATTGATAGTGGAACTTGGGCCAGATGGCCACCGGCGCGCATGTCAAGCGCTGAAACATTCTATGTTGCTTGCGCGCCTCTCCAAGCCCTGTTGGCTTCTCTCACCATGTCCTCTGCGCTCTTGGGCTCAGCAAGCGCCCGGCGGATCGCCCATTCATTTCCTCATGCTGCACCTCGCAGCCGGTCCACGGCAAATTCTTGAAATCCAGCCAGATCTCAGCTCGTTTCTCGCTGAATGACGTCCGTAATCTCCATGAAGAAGCAAGCCATGACATGAGCCAGATCTTGGGCGCTCTCTAAAGTCGACAGCTCTTCCACTCCAAAAAGCGAAGCCTTCTGTGGCTCCTCCGGGCCGTTGACCGGGTGAAGCTCAAGACTGGAACCCGGCAAAGGGTCCTCGACGTGAAGGCATCCACATCACTCGCGCGCGCCAACGTTCCCTCGGACTTGGCGGAGGCGCACGCCGGCGTTTCGCAGAGTAGGTGCGGACAAGTCTGCAGCCGAAATGACAAGCCAAACGGGTGCCGTTGTTCATCGGTGAAGTCACTGCATCTTGTTCAGGTGGTTGCAGCTGGCCGTTTCTCAAGCTAAAGCCTCGTGCCATTCTCAGAGCTTCTCTGGATCTGCCGGACCAAAAAGGCGGCGAAATGCGGTGTGGCACCTCCCAAGCCCCACCCACAAGAACCGATCCCACAACCGTCACTCCCCTCCTCCAAGTTCTGCTGAAACACCTGCGACTCTGACAGGATCTCCAGCAGCAGCTTGGCGGTTTGGGCCTGGGCTCACAGAAACCCCCGCCCTACTTGGGGCCCACCACCGGGTTAGTCACACCCATATCCCTGAAGCTAGGTCTCCAGAAAGCAATGGCAAACCGTGCCCAGCCATTTCTTCGGTTAAAGAAGATGCCGAGGCAGCAGCACTGCTGCCAAGGTGGGGTGGCAGCTAGAGAATATGCTCGTGCAAGTTACAAAGGGCCATCTCCAGAAGAAAAAAATATTAAGGCCCAAAGCAATGAATTGCAAACACATGTCCATAACATTCTACCAATGAAAACCAGCGAGGCCCCGCCAGCCACGGCTACCATCTGCCCAGCAGATTCTTCTTCCGCGGCGCCGGAAGAGACTGCAGCGGCCTGCTCCGCTCCTCAAAATGCCGACCGGCCAATATGGATTTGGCTGTGGCTCAAAAAGCCGGCACCAAAATGGGTTGCCCTGGTAAGTGGAAACATGGACCAAAACCTGCGTAACCCCTCCTGTTTAATTTTGAGCCACACCCATTTGGCATTTTCCGGCAGCCTTTCCCCTTCATGGACTCTTCACGCTTGCAGAAGTGCCCAAGCAAGCCGGCCATGAACAAGCGAACAAGGTCACCCATGAATGTTTTAGTAGGGATTTGAATGGATACCGCAATCAGTTGTTCAGTCCATTGTTTAGTGTTGGACTCTTGTTGGACTATTTCTACTTTAGTATTGAATCAACGTAGAAGTGCCGGGGCTTTGAAGAAACATATTTGAGGTCTCTGGGGACCTCGATTCGGGCCGGAGAAGAGACGAACTCAACCAAGAAAAGTCCAGGACAAAGGAAGCAGCACCCAGCTCCTAAGACCTTTCCCTTCCCACAGGACAGAATCCTCTTCTGGGAGAAGAAAAATCCAAGAGGAGCGGAAATTCTGGGGGCACAGCCCGCGCAGAGCGCAGAATTTCCCCGTTGGCTCCTCGGCCTCCATGGCCTCCTGCCTCAGCAGCTCCATCTCCTGCTCAGCCTCGATCTCCTCGCTCGGTTGCTTTCTGCTCCCCTGCTGAAAAGTTCGACTTTTACCCTTCCTCCAACAAACATAGCACCTGCGAGAGTGTTCCTGGAAGATCAATTTCCTCTTAAAGGAACCCCCTGTGAGGTGCTATGTTAGTGGGACGGAGGGTAGTGGTTTCATGGAAAACCCTTCAGTTGGCAAGAAGTTAAAGCCCCAACCTCCCAGCGAAATGCACCACAAGGCTCGATCTCCGGCCAAACCCCCAGGCTTCGGCGCGCGCGAGATCCGGTTGGCTGGGAGTTTGAGTGGGCGAAAATTTGGCTGGCTCGGAAGAGGCTGTGCCAGACGCACTCAGAAGCACAGGGAGGGCCATCCGCACAGCGGAGCTACAGTCACATTCCCCCTAAGTCCCAAGTCAATCGCACACTTCGAAGGAAAGAAACCAATGCAATCGAATCGCTGCAATGAAGCCTCAGTCCAAGATGGGCCCTGTCCCAAACTGTGGCCAGCCATGACAGTCCTCGTGTGAGCGCCGCGGCTTCGCCATGGCCAAAAGGGGAAACAATGGGATCGGCAAATTTCTGTCCAAGTCTGCGTCAGCCCATGCTTCGCTCATTGTGGGCTTCCTTTCGCACCAAGCTTCAGCAGTCATCTGGCTGCTGTTTGCCCATCCGCCCGGCAAATTGATTGAATCTCATGTGAACGATTTGCACTTGAAGAGGGACAAGGATGACTTGTGGCGAATCTCCTCTAGAGTCCTCTAGAGGCCTTTGGTGCAGACATAAGCAAACTATGGAACACTTGTATGCAGGCCTACGCCTTGAGAGACGCAGGGCGATGTATGCGACTCGTGCCGTCAGCGCGACAAACTCAAGTGCGCTGGAGGCTTTTGCAGGAACCTCCAATCATGCGATAAGCTCCGATAAGCCATGCCCCTCGGCCCTGGCTTTCTTATGGCCTCTCTGACTCGAAGCTCGTCCAATCGGATCCAGCCTCCAGCCCGATGGCGCCCTGGCGCTGAGGAGCTGAGGAGCTGAGGAGCTGAGGAGCTGAGTAAGCTTCGACCCGCCGGGTCTCAAGTCAGGCCCGAGGTGCCATGAGCCCCTCGAAGGTCTGCGCCATCTTGGCAAAGGCCCAGGACCTCGAGCGGGCACGGCCGCTGGCGTCAAGCCGATTGCCGCCTTTCGATGTGAGGGCGCCCTTTTTCAGGGAACTCGGCACATGCACGGGGCGATTGCATTTGCCGATGTTCGGAGTTGAGCCCCATAATCATTGACCTTATACATATCATCCCTCAGAGCCGAACAAAGTGTTCTACTTGCCAAGCTTCCAGCTTCGCGAACGAACAATTGGTCCAGCGTTGAGGGGTTGTAAAGCGGCCCCATTCGACTGTAGCTTTGGCTGCCAAGAGATCCGCCCTTTTCGTTCACTGGGACTTGAACGAAGCTTGCCTTCAAGCTCGCTGCGGCCTCTCTTTGGCCCAGAAAGTGGGACGAAATACGGCATCCACAACTCAGAAGCTCCTGGCCCTCTGACTCCTCCACGGTCCCGGCGCATGGCCGGCCACTGGTCTTGGACTGCCTGAGGATCCCATCAGGGCACGTCCTCCAGCACCACTGCCTTCCTCTTCTCTACAAGTAGCCCGCTTTCTTGGGCAGAATGGAACTGGCCACGTGGCCCCGTAAATATGCATCATCCGACCAAAGCTGCGAGCGGGTGGTCACCTCTACGGTGGAGGTGCCATCCTTGCGCAGCAGAACCAGCGCCTGTGCCACCGAGGAGATGTTCAGGCGCTGCAAGCCCCGCAGGTAACGACTGCGCTCCAGTGCCGAACGCTCCTGGCAGGGCACCAGCGGCTCACAAGCAAAGCGCCTGGGGCCAGGCAGTTGCTCAGAAACCCTTGGCTGTGGCTCAAAACACCGGGACCAAAATGGAACCCTGGTAAGTGGAAACATGGTTTGCCCCTTCAGAACACGGCCCGCCTCTTTGCAGCTTGCGATAGTTCTACGCAAAATCGATGTGAGTGTCGAAGCTTCTTTCCCCCAAGAGACCCTTGCCTCTGCCAGCCTAGACTCTGGCCTAGACCCCTTCCCGGGCTTTCAGCGTCCAGCCCGTGACAGCACCCCAAGTTTGGAGCCCGTCCTGCGTGGCAACCTTCCAGTAATTCTCGGCTGCCGCGGGATCACCCAAGAAGATCTTGACCATAGCTGAAACCTGCAAGCAGCCCAGAGCAAGCACAGTGCGTAAGCCCGGAAAGTGTAAGCAGGCAAGGACGCGCTTGCGCTGAACTGTAGCCTAGTCAAGAGTGGAAGTTATCCTGCCTCCTCACAATATTAAGAATATGGTCGAGGCATGTGGAGGCTGAGGGGTCACTCATCACGTTTTGGAACTCTTCGAACCCCATATCACCCGCACCGCACGCCTCACCAATCCACTCCACCACTCGGTCTGCGAGCTTCCTTCCATGGCAAAGGACGGGGCAAGATGCATATCAGGCTCGCGCCCACTTCAAAACCCAAGAAAAAACTTACAATCGACTTGCACTGCACTGGAAAGCCCATGCCCGCCCGGCTCGCAAACAAAAACGCAGCAAATCAAGCGCCCAAAAGCCGCCCTTCACCAGCCTCCAAAAGACATCCACCCCCCGTGCCAAAGCAGCCCCCCAAGCAGTTCCCAGGCCCGAGCATTTGCGCCGGGCGTCTCAGGGTTCGGCACCTCTGCCACTGTGCACAGCAGGCCGCCAGGAGCCAGCAGTTGCCCTGCCTGGGCGATATTTGCCGATAAACACATCCCTTCGTTCACCATGTTCACCCATTCCTTCCCTGGGTACATGGCAAGCAAGTTTTCCTTTCGGCCTTGTGTTGCAGGGCTGACACATGAGAGGACTGGATAGTCTTGGAATCTGCATCAAGCAAGCTAGCCTCAGCCAAATATTCGGCCACATTGCGCGACAGGAAAATGGCAACTACATGCATCTTGAGACTATCTTGAGTATCATCGACTGCGACTGAACTGCTCCCACCCTGCACCTAGGGCTCCTCAGTCCTTATATTGCACCCTAACCAACCACGGAAGCGCGACAGTACTCCAAGATTGCACGATGGACACGTTTAACCTGTTAAGATGGCGGAACGAATCTGAGAACCCGATGGCACAACCTCCCCACATTTCACCCCCTTTGACAACGTGCACCAAACCAATCCCCGCCTTCTGCAGCAACGCACGGTGCACCATCTCTCCATCCGAGCCACCGCCAGAGTAGAGGGGCCCTGCATGCTGAGAGGGCCCAAAAAAGCCAATGCCTTCTTGGCACAGGCTCGGTTAGCGCGGGGAAAGTTGGTCAAGCGTCGGATCACTATGGCCAGCCCCTAGCTTCAGCCTCCTGTGAGCACTTTTTATCCTCATGGCACTTGGTATTCAGAAGCGCTAAGGTGGCCGCGTTTCGACTGCGCTTCATGGTAGATGCTGCTTGCTGCTCAAGAAGCTGCCATAATATGAGAAAGCTTGCGAACGGCGGAAGAACACGTCATATATAAAGCTAGGCGGTTTCCGTCGGGATTTCGATTGCGTTTCTCTGCCTGCCGCCGTCGCAGCCCCATCTGGATTTGGCACGAACGGCGGGTTGGCGAGGATCACCTGGCAAGCAGCAAATTCATGGGACACACCTGCTGCGCCCATCATCCCCCCCTCCCCCCCCCCCCCGGCACAAAAATCTGGATGGTTGACCGAACTATATGCAAGAGCATGTCCTTGAACAAGTTCTGGAAGCAAGCTTCTCTGCAAGTGGCTCTGCGCAATGTGAGCTGCGCAATTTGTTCGAGCAAGTTCCTCTGCGAAATTATTGTGGCAAGTTCGTTCAACATGCTTGTTTGCGCAAGTTTCTTGCGCATGTGCTCTGAGCAAGGTCTATGCACGAATGTATCCGCACGCAATCCTCTGAGCACGTTCTCTGAGCAAATTGTCCGCGCAAGTTGTCTGAGCAAGTTCTCTGAGCAAACTGTCTGAGCAAGTTTCTCTGAGCAAGTTCTGCAAGTTGTCTGAGCATGTTTTTGCTCAAGTTCTTCCTGCGCAAGCTCTGTGACAAGGGTTTTGTCTACGCAGCGCCCTCGCCGCGAGTACGATGTTCCCGTCTGACCTAAACAAGCGCACTTGCCGTTCTACTTTCGCACTTAAAAGTTGCGATTTAATTTTCTCGCTGGAGCTGCCAAAGTGCACTTCGCGTGCTACTTTTGCACTTGAAAGTTGCGATGTTTCTAGCCGGGGCTGCGAAAGTGCACTTTGCATTGCGCAAAACCTTTAGTTTTTGGCCTCCACCACGGTTGCGTGATGACCGAAAGGTGCAGGTTTCAACTTCGCCCGCGCTCTCGCCGATCCACTCGCGTAAGCATGTTAAAAACGTAGAAAACGCTCTCAGCTTTTGCACATCGACCACACTACTCTTGAGCAATCTTCTCTGAGAAAGGTCTCTACGCAGGTTGTCTGAGCAAGTTTCCCTGAGCAAGTTTGCTGAGCAAGTTCTCTGAGAAGTTCTCTCATGTGCTCTCAGCAAGTTCTCTGAGCAAGCTCCCCTGTGCCCCTGTGCAAGTTCTCTGTGCTCTTTTTGGTCCAAGGGCTCCGCACCTAACAACCCTCGCCTGGAACGGTGGCTCCAGCTCGCTGAGGTCTTCCACGCTGGCCCGCACGAAGCTGGCGCGGTCGTAGAGGCCGTTGAGCGCGCAGTTGAAGCGACTGAAGCTCAGAGCCCTCTCGTTGACCTTGGGGCGCGACGCTCGCGGGAGCGCAGCGGCCAATGTCGAGGATCAACTGAGGATCGACTAAGTCAAGAAGCAAAACATCCAGATCTCAAGATGCAATGGAGCCGAAGGCCTTCGGAGAGTCAGTGCCAGTTCACGCAAAATGAACAAGCGCAGGAAACAGGAAAGGGATGCTCATGAAGACCGTCAGCCTTGCTTCGAACTGAAACCCAAGTTGTGCCCTACAAGAAGCCCAAGGGTGAGAAGTCGCCACATGCAACACCACAGGCTGGAGAAGAGGAACTAAAGCTGCGACGGAAACGAGTGAGTAGAGAATCTGCAAGCAAGGCGAACAGTGGGAGCAGACCCACTTTACGCAAAAGGTCAAAGACGCGTGAATAAGGTCCTGAACAGGAAAGCCTCCCATGAACCTTGGAGTCATCAATTCAGCCCATCCCTCTAGAAATCACTTCCCCATTCTTTCCAGGGATCCATCCTTCCAGAAAGCCATCAACCCCAGCCAGAGGGAAACCGCCAGTTTTTGAAAAGAACGATGGTTGAAAAGAATGGAATGGGGAATCAACCCCTAGAATCCCCCTCTCACCCTCCCTTTTCCCCAGCCGGGAGGCATCTACGAAGGTCACCTCCCGCGCATAGCTCAGCGCCACCATGCCCTGCACGCCGCTGCCGCAGCACACGTCCAGAACCCGCTCGGCCGCCCGCCGGGGCGCCGCAGCGATCAGAGCGTAGGAGTCCAGGGACCTCAAATCCCAGTCACTTCCAGCTGATTCCCCGGTCGGTGCACTTTGTACCAAGGGGTTCGTGGGGTGCACCTTTGGTGCACGCGCCATGCAGAGTAACTTTTCTCCCAAACCAGGGCTTTCCTTGCCAGACAGTAGACAGCTGAGCGAGCAGGGACAAATCCCAGTTTCTCAGAGAACCAAACGAGCAGCTTCCTTGCACCTCTTTGTGCGCTCCAAAATGAGACCAGGCCAAATCTTGCCTTTGGCGGCTTGAAAATGGGTGGTTTCAACCCCATTCTAACCAGCGGCAGGTACATCACCGGCTCAAATTCGCCCACGTCGTAGGGGATGTCCCCATAGTCCGTGGCCACCAGAAGGCCCTCCAGAGGCCAGAGCGCCACCGTGGAGAAGACGAGCGGCGACTGTCCAAGTGGGCCTACCTGTGCCTCCATGCTACTGTTGTAACAGGAAGTCGCCTCAACGTCTGGCCCGTAACAGTCAGTTTCAAGTCCCCGTAGGCTGACAATGGGCCGTGATATGCTTCAAACGTCTCAAAATTGGGAACTGCATGTTTGCGCCACCATCACAACCACAGGCACTGCTGCCCAACCTGGGGCCCAGGTAACTGGTCCACTTCAACCCATTGCCTACTTCAACCCAACACGTTACCAAAGCCGTCATGACAATAAGACCCCACCCAAACCCCCCGCTGTGTCGGAGGGGCGTCATCGTCGGGGACGCGCAGCGCTGCGAGCACTTGCAGCCGCAGCAGCCCGGAGAGCAGCTCAGGCCCCAGCAGCTCGCGGACGCGGTCCTTGCGTCGGCACTCTCGACTCTCGAGGCCTCTGGGATCAGCTGGCCAGGGGTCAAAATCCAAATCGGTGAGCCCCCAGTGAACATCCCAATCCAACCACTAAAATAGGTTCTAAAATGGGTGGTGAATTCACCTACCCCAACATGGGATCCGATTGGTGGCCCGCAGCCAGCTGGCTGTGAAAGCCAGCTGGGCACGTGAGGGTTTCAAGACCCGCAAGCGGTGCCCTTTTTTTGCTTGCACGACACGAATGTATGAGGGCGATGTTTGTTGACAAAGGTTCCAAGATAGCTGGGAATACCCGGACTTGGCTCACGTGAGCCGCGGGTGGCGGGGTCCAGTTGCGGCATGATGTCCCAAATGCAGTGTGATACCACGCTTGTTGCATGCTGTCGGAAGAATGAATGAAGCATGACCACGCTCAGAAAAGTAGACTGGACTCTTCATGTCGTCAGGGGCGATGGCAAAGAGATTTCATGCAGCCGGTCGCAATCGAAACCTGAGTGCCTGCGGCAAAAGCACCCCGATCAAAACAGACTACAGGACAGAGAGCCAGGCAAGAGCTCGCAAAGCCAGCCGATGAAAACTCTCTCGAGCCCTAAAGCGACCTGGCCTTCTTTCTGTCAATTCACCGCTTCCGGGCGAGCACGGCCAACAATCAATCCCACCAGCTGTCGCTCCTGAGGCATGAAGCGGCGCAGCACCCAGAGCCGGATCCTCGGGTAAACAAGCGAGAGCAGGGGGCGGGTTCGTGGGAAAGGCTGTGATGGAGGTGCCCAGTTCAAAGCCACAAGGAATTATCTTTTTTGGAGACCGGGGGACTGTGGTACTGCACTCTGTTTGTGTTGAGGCTTGAGCTCTTGCAGAAGTTATGCGCATGTTTCGTGAGAAGTGTTTGCCTCTCTGAGTGGCACTGGGAATCTGAGTGTAAGTTTTGGCACTGCTCAATTTAAAATTGGCACAGCTAACTGAAGTACTTTGAATAAAAGAGTTAGTCTTGGCAGCACCAAATGTAGATCTGGCAATGCTAGATGAAACACTGGGAATCTGAGTGCAGTGTAAGGCCGGTACTTGATCTAGTAATCTTAAACGATAATTGCCAAGCCTTACTCTGCACTCAGACTCTCAACGCTTGATCTAGTATTGCCAGATCTAAATTTGGTATTGCCAAGACTTACTCTTGCATTCAAAGGACTTCGTTTAGCAGTGCCAATTTTAAATTGAGCAGTGCCAGCTAGATTCTTACTCTCAGAATCCCTGTACTTAATTTATTTAGTATTGCAAAGACTTACTTTTAGTTTCCCGTTGCTCAACTTGCTCATTGCCAATTCTAAATTGAGTATTGCCAAGGCTTACTCTCAGAATCCCAGTAGTTCATTTAGTATTGCGAAGACTTACTTTTAGTTGTCCAATGCTAAGCTTAGTGTTGTCAATTCTAAATTTAGTGTTGCCGAGACTTACCCTCAGAATCCCGGTACTTGATTTAGTATTATCTTAATCGAGAATTGCCAAGCCTTACACTGCACTCAGATTCACAGTGATTCATCTAGTGTTGCCAGATCTACATTTGGTGCTGCCAAGACTAACTCTTGCATTCAAAGTACTTCATTTAGCGGTTCCAATTTTAAATTGAGCCGTGCCAAGACTTGCACTCAGATTCCCAGTGCTTGATTTAGTGTTGCCAATTTACATTTAGTATTGCCAACTGCAAATTGAACATTGCCAACCCTTACTTAAAAATTCCCTGTACTGCATTTAGTATATACTGAAAGTTCTAGATTTGGTACTGCCAAGACTTCCTCTCAGATTCCCAGTGCTTAATTCCACTGGTGGACGAAGTATCAGATTGAAGTGGCAGAACCAGGCCGAATGTAACCTGGTTATTTTGGGCTCAAATGTGGCTGGTCCCCCTTAAGCCATTGTTTGGCTTATTCAGCCAAAGAAAAACCTTGAGAAACCCAAAAAACTCGAGAAAAAATGTTTTCTGAACTCTTTCAACATGGGTTGTGCTCCAAAGAGTTTCTAAACCATAGTTTTTGATTTCTTTGGTTTTTAGGGTTTTCTCGGTTTTTTGTTTTCTTCGAGTTTTTGTTTGCTCCTGTTTTCTCAAGAAGTTTCCTCTGTTCGTGTTAGATCAGGTGCAACTGACACGGCTGACCCATGAGAAGGCTGCAAGCCTCAAAAAGCGCAAAAAGCGCACTACCAGGGTCCGCTGTTCTGCTTTTTTGAGGGTCCCTTCTTTGGGCTGTTTCAAAAGTAAACTCAAGGAACAACCATCATTTTGAGGGTCCCCTTTCCAGGACGCGCCGCCAACCTTGCGGTCGCGAGTGAGGAGCCCCATGAAAATCCCCCGCCCGGGCCGAAGAGAGTCCCAGCTCCAGGCAAGCCACATGTCCACCAGGTCTTGCGGACTGCCTCGCTCCTTGCGGGTCATTTCCAGATTCGATTCCCTGCCCCACTGAAACAGAATAGTGAATGAAGAAGAATCAGATGGTGTTTAAGAGGAGGCCTGAAAATAAAAATCCCCTGTTGGCGTCCTCGTTTGGGAAAGTCGACAAAATAGGCCATGTACTGTCTTTCCGGTTTCAAGCAGGCGACTTCTCAGGTTCTGCTTTGGGGAAGTTGAGCCCCAAATCTCTCGCTAATTCGCCCCTCTCAAACGGGCCTGCATCTGGCATTCCAGCTCATACCCGCGGCTTGAGACCAGGTGCAAGATAGAAGGCACCCCGGCGGCCTCCCAGCAAACACTTCTGAGCACTGGAACGTGAACACGAGATGCCAATCAAAATGTCTCGCAGGGAAGAAATCACGGATCTCCTGACGTTCTGACTGGGTCAGAGCGTCTTGAGAATGCAAGAAGCGCAGCCAGATCAGATCTACACGCCTGGTTCAGGGTGTTTCTTGCCCTTCATTGGCATGCTTCCTACTTCGCCCTTTTGCTGCTAGTGCTTCAGCTGATTTGTGTCTCGGGCCTCAGGTAGCGCTGCCTCGGTGTAGCCAGCACGTCGCAGCCGTTCCTGCAGCTGTTCGCCCACCTCGGTTGCTCGCTGTTGCTGGCGTTTTGCACTTTCTCGCGCCCAACTCGCAAGGGGCCTCGCTACATTCACCACTCGGCAGGTCCGCGCGCGTGGTCAGAAAGCTACCAGGCTGCAGACAAGCTTCCGAGCGCACAGCCTCGGCCCAGCCGTCGCCAGAGACACCTCAAAAAAGGTAGGAAACACGAAATGATTCATGCGAACACAGGATGCGCAATGCTTTGAAACGGTTGGCTGCCTCCTGGGCCCCTACTAGTTCATGGCCACCACGCTCATGCTTCGATAGGTGAAACAAGCACCACCCACGGAACCTTTGCGCCGAGGCACACAGGCCGGCATGGCAGGCCAACGTCATTTGGCACCATCGCTCGAGTCGAAAGGCCCTGTCGTTGTAAGACGCTGCCAAGCCTCGCCACATCAAGGCCCTCTGAAGCTAGCTTGTGGATCCTGACCGAGACGGGAGGGACAAAAATATGATTGCACACAACATCCTGACTAAGTCCGGGCACGGACCAGCAATGGCCACCTCTGGTCGCCAGGGACTCTTCCAAAAATGTCCGCATGCTTTCCACATGTCTTTGCGTTGTTTGTGCTTGTCTGAGTGCGTGATTCGTTGTGTTTGCTTGGATTTGTGTTTCTGTGTTTGTGTATTTGTGTATTTGTGTGTTTGTGTGTGTGTGTGTTTGCTTGCTTGCTTGCTTGCTTGCTTGCTTGCTTGCTTGCTTGCTTGCTTGCTTGCTTGCTCGCTTGCTCGCTTGCTTGCTTGCTTGCTTGCTTCCTCGCTTGCTTGCTCGCTTGCTTCCTCGCTTGCTTCCTCGCTTGCTTCCTCGCTTGCTTCCTCGCTTGCTTCCTCGCTTGCTTCCTCGCTTGCTTCCTCGCTTGCTTGCTTGCTTCCTTGCTTGCTTGCTTGCTTGCTCGCTTGCTCGCTTGCTCGCTTGCTTGATTCATTGATTCATTGATTCATTGATTCATTGATTCCTTGATTCCTTGATTCATTGATTCATTGATTCATTGATTCATTGATTCATTGATTCATTAATTCATTGATTATTTGATTGATTCATTGATTGCTTGCTTGCTTGCTTGTTCGTTTGTTTGCTTCTTTGCTTGCTTGTTTGTTTGCTTGTTTGTCTTGGAGAGGCATGAGAGGAGGAAGCTCTCCAGGCGCTTTTCGCTAGCGCCTGTTCCTATGGATTCACAGCCGAGCAGCTCAGCTGCAGCTTCTCGTGCGCCTCTTGGAACTCCAGCAGCCGCAAGTGCATCACGGCAGCCTCGCCCAGAACACCTCCGGCGGCAGATGGCCGCCCGCGTGCGTGTCACGTGCCATCTGCAGATCTCGGGCGTTTTAGGCATTTAGGCAATGAATCATAAGGCGTTCATGCACAGCTGCACGGGAACCAACCTTGACAATCAACCGGCCTGCCATCAGCACCGGTTCCGCCCTCTCCGCAGCCAGCTTAGAAATCTCCTTGGAGGTAAAGAAAAGAAAAATAAAATTGATGAATGCACCCAGGAAGCCACGGTGGGCGCAGCTATGCCCGAAATCTCTGCAAATTATGAGCTGATAGAATTGAACACAGTGTTGACACGGGCCAGTATGCTATTGTGGGAAGTGCTGGGAAGGAATGAGAACAAATAGGATGTAATAGGTGTCCTAGGGCAAATAGATGGCCCTGGTAGATGTTTAAACCACCAGGTAGACCGGGGCCATCTATTTTTCTACCAAAAAGAAACAAAAAGGACACCTAGGTTGTAATGTTGACCCCAGATTGAAAAATCCTGCTTATCGAGATGGGGGTGTCCCTGATTTTAGTGGGGATTTATCACTTTTGCAGGGGAACACCCCCATATTAATAAACGGGGGTCTATTCAGCCGGGGTCAACAATATGAGGCAAGCCTTTCAGGCGAAGTCAAAAGCTTGCCCATGCATCCCAGGTGCCCAGCAGCACGCGGCCAGGCGCGCTCGGAGAACCGCCTCCGTGGCCTGAAGGAGAGTCTTGCGCCGACGTGCATCAAAGGCATGACCCTTCCGACGGCATTCCTCATTCAGCGAGCATTGCCAGCACAGTCGCAACTGGCTGAGGGGGGCATTGACTTAATAACCCAGAAGCTCAACAACAGTGACAACACTTATAAATCGCCGTCGCACCCCTGTGACTTGCCTACAATGATTGCAGCCTGTCAATCCCAAGGCCGGATCCCTCACTTTTGGATCGGCAGAAACCATGTCTAGGGGCCAACAAAAAGTAGCGCAAAGAGAGGTGTACCCCCACGTCGCGCCTCCCCGTGCGCAGCCAGAGCCGGATCACTGGTGTGTGCCACGGGCCTCATGTATACGGACTCCGGGTTGCCCTCAGGGAAGCCTGGCGGCAGCAAAAAAGCAAAGCCCCGCTGCCACCGGCGAACCCGCAAGGCCGGCCCCAATCGAAACCATGAAATCAAGATACGGTACATCAGGTACCTCGCCAGCGCGTTGGGATCTGGTTGAAAAGATGGGAAATCACAATCGACCTCTGCCCCAGCGAATACGCATCATGAATGGAAGCATGAAACGTCAGGCTGGAAACCGATGTTAGCGGACAAAAATCATTCAGAGGGTTGGGCCAACCTGTTCGAGCCCACACTAGTTTGCCCAGCCTCCCGTTAGTTTCCCTAGAAGTGGCGCTAAAAACCAGCTTCGCCCCCTGCCAGTCCAACCAAATCCCCACCTGCCAGCGCTGCTCGCAGCGCCTGCAGCTCCTGCATCAGCGGCCCGGCCTCGACCAAAAAAACAACACTCGGCCCCAAAAAGGCGAGGCCCAGAGCTGAGCCTTTCGCTGGGGAACATGCTGAACACCCTCTCACCTGCACATGTCCAGGCGGTCTGGCGAGAGGCGGCCTCACAGCCAAAGAGTTGCGCTTGAATCGAGGGCGCAAGGGGAACCACGGAACAATCCGCTTGCAGAGCAAACATGTGGCAAACATGGCGGGGCACCCATGTTAAGCCAAACAAGACTGCTCAGTTTAAATCAGGCATGTTAAAAACAGCCTCAAACTCGAGGTCTCAATGCTAATCCTTCATTTGGCTTGATTTGGGATGGCCCTCTGGAGTGATTTGCTGCTTTCTGGCAGCCATACTCATTGGACAGCGCAACACTTGCTTCCGTGGAATATTCCAAGCAAGAAGCTCTTTCAAGAGCCCCACTCCCCGCCATCCCGCCTCTGCATCACAGGGCAGGGCGGCAAATACCGCAGTTATGCGACGCAGGGCGCAGGTGGTGCCTGGCCAATTTTGCGCCAAGCCGATTGATCAAACCTGCCCCGCATCTTGCCAACTCCCAAAGCCCCGGGAAGGTGCATGACGATGTCAGTATAAACATGATCCATTGGCAGCAGTGGGAGTGTTCTTGCCTGACTCGTTCCACCAATGGCCGTTGGCTTACTGCCGTGTATCTGGGGCTGCAGGACTGCAAGGGATGCAAGACAGCAAGACACTGTCATTGAACCAGGCAGCATGTCCTTGGCCAAAAACCACCTGCTGTGTGCGGCTGGCTGAAGAGTTCAGGATTCCCAGATGCCTTGGAGCACCGGCCCCAACCCCACTGAACAACGAAGAAATCGACGGACGACCCGCTGCTCAGTGGCCACCAGGCTACCAGATTACCAGGTGCATGAGCCCCGCACGGAACAGCTGGCTGCTGACAAGAACTGGTTCCCGGGAGTTCCTTCCAGTTGAGGGGCGGTTCCCATCTACTCCCAGGATTCAAATCCCAAACCACCAATCCAAACCACTAAATAAGGGCTGCCTGAGTCAAGCTGCGGCTGGAAAAAGCAAACCTGCCAATAGACTTGTCAAGGAGTCTGCGGGAAAAGTCGCAGAACCTTCAATGAAGAACCGTCCTTGAAAACAACGCATACCCTACCACTCGCACGTTGCCAACTAACTCCACTGCTCCCAGCGCCTTCCAGCCGCAGCAGCGCCACCTCCATCTTGCCGCTGGCGTCCGTCTCGCTCGCGCCAGGCGCGCGGCTTGGCGCACCGCCAAAACCTGCGGCTGGGTCTTCCAGCGCCGCCTTGGCGAAGCCCAGAAGCTGCTTCTCCTGAAGCCCCGGAGGGGCCCCCGGACCCGGAGGGGCCCCCGGACCCGGAGGGGCCCGGAGGAAGCCCTGCTGGGTTTAACAGTCAAATCATTCTCAAAAACCAAGTAGAATTATACAGTTTGCTCCCCCAAGACGCAGGAAGTTTGGTGAGTCCGCTGGCTGTTCGTTATGCGGTGAGTTCTGAGTTCCCCCTGCCTCGCTCCCAAATGAACCATACCTCATCTTGATTGCTCGGATTTGGGGGGTAGCGGCGCCTCCTGTATCAAAGCGCGGGCCAGCTTCCGGCGCGGCGTTTCCGCCTGGCCACAAGCTTTTTCAGGAGGCCAGCCGCGCACTGTACAAGTCCGGTCTCAAAAGTGTTGAGAGGGTGTGCTTCATGTTGCTCTCTCCTTAAAATGTTTGCTGGGCATGATTGCCCATGGCCATCTGCTTTTGCTGCGGTGGGGAATACTCAACAAATTACCATCCAAAGAATGGGTTGTCTGTGCAAAGCGATCTCCCCCCATGCCCCTAGTTCTGTTGTTTAATCAAAAGCTGCATAGAGATCAGTTGTGAAAGCTACATGTTCTAGCCCTCCCGAAGCACGTTGTGAAACAAAACATGAACCCCTGGCACCC